CTGCTTTGTTTACAGCGGAAACCAGGAAACGCTTTAAGCGCCACCTGCTGGCAGAGAGTGAATCTGCGTCTCATTCAGCTCGTCTGCGGTTTCATGCAAATATTTTTTATGTATAGTTTCACAAAACTGAAGTCATACCATTCTGTTTTTGCTTCAAATTTCGAAATTATGCAATCTAATTTAGATTAAAAACTGCTCATGTTGCATGTATGCAGCATCTTTGTTTGGATCATGATTAAAATGCAGTGTTAGCCTCTAATTTTAAATGGAAAGAGCACAGACAAAGCCTTATTTTGTTTATATGAAGAGATTTATTTTATTAGTGTTACTTATTTATTTGATTTTTTTTTTTTTTCAATTTAGTTTTGTTATTTACATTTACATTATATTTAAATTTTGTCATTTAGCAGACGCTTTTATCCAAAGCGACTTACAAATGAGGACAATAGAAGCAATCAAAACCAACAAAAGAGCAATAATATGCAAGTGCTATATTAGTATATTATTATAGAGTTATATTTCAATTTCACAAAGAAATGTGCAGCATTTTGTCCAAGCACTAATAAAAGGACACATTTAATTTATAATTTGTCTTAAATCTCATTTTGTAGAAAAAAAAATCGTGAATCGAATCGAATCGTGAAATCAAAAATCGCGAATCAAATCGAATCGTGAGTTGAGTGAATCGTTACATCCCTACTATCGGCACAACCCTACGAGTACTTGACTAGTCAATTACGCATGCACATCCCTGGATTCAACCCCAATCTGCAACCGATCAAAACCGTTAATCACAAATGTTTGTAATATTCATCATGTACATACATCAGACAAACACAAGTCTGTTTACTTGATAAATGGTGATTCTCATTGACTACAAACACAAGACAATGGCCAACAAACATTATTACTCACCGGGGTCATTATGTGAATGGGGCACAACAAAGACTTGGAGTGGCTCATTGTCCCATTCATTGTCCTGATAAGAGATATCAAAGCCTTGTTTCCATACTCCACCATCAGGGTTATCAAAGCTGAGTAAATCATAAACATCCAGCATCTGGAAGAAAGCAGGAGAGAACATCATTTTACTGGACTATAACAGACTTCCATACTTCCATTCGATTCGACCAAGTGCAACAGTCAGTTCATAATACTAGACATGTAAAATAATATCTATTGGTTATGAAAGTGTATAATTGTGCACAGTTACTTAAAGGCTAGGCAGAAGGAAGTTTTGATAAAAATTCACTGACAATTAGTTTAATGATAACAAAAACATCCACATGGCTTCTCTGTGATAAAACTCATTTAGACATCAAATAAATCAAAAGAGGATAGCAATGTAATTTTATTTGCATTGGCTAAATTCTATTTAAATCCAGATAACACTCCTAAATCATGTGGCCCTAGTTAATTTCAGCTGTCGGTTTTCTGAAAGAAACAAAAAAATTATATTCTCAAGCAATTCCTGCATATAAACACAAAATTGTTGATTTGGATGGGAATTAAATTGAATTATTGACAAACAACACAACCTTGCTGTTTGTCAAAAAACAGTAGGCAATTCAGCAGGGATTTTGTTCCTCAAATGACGGATGAAAAAACACCAATATTTCCAGTTTGGATAGTAATAAAAATCACAACTTGCACCAGTAAATGCTGATATTACATCATGTCCCCATGTAAAACAATTAAAGGCGGAAAGGGGCTAAGGAAAATGCAAGCCATAGACAAACGCACATGCAAATATATGCAAAAATTAGTCTGCTAGAGTGACACAATTCAGGCATTGAGATATTTCTCAACCTCCACAGAACAGCCAGTCTCCGGAAAACAAGTCTCTCTGGCATTGATCTATCCATGTTTACTGTAACATTGTTCAGGGAAAAAAATATTTAAAAAAAAGTATATTGTGCATTATAAAATAGCAAAACATAGTTTCAAGGTGACTGTATGAATTCTCTCACGCCAAACAAATGCTTATGGAATGATGAATCTCTTCCTGATTCATTACAGTATCACAACATACAAAACACATGTGACAGCTCTGAACATCCTAATAACATAGTTTAATCCTTCAGATAAAGTCTACCTTTATTAAATAGTTGACCAGTGTGTTTAGTGTGGTTTAATTGTGTATCTCTTTCAAAAATATGATGACTGAGGTTTTAGTTTGGAGGAAGAGTGGAAATCAACTCCCTTTTCTGCCATGAATTAATTAATTGTCATCTGAATGCATGAGTTCTATCACAGATGACCCATGCAAATATTATTTACAGCTGGCTTATTTCCAACTATTGTTGCTAAGAAAAAACTAATACATTTGTGTAAATTGCTGTAACTCCGTAGTAACTTGTTTTTTTGCAAAGAAAACTTTTATAAATGTATAACAATCAAACTATTTACACTACCGTTCAAAAGTTTGGGGTCTGTATGTTGTTGTTTTTTTGTTGTTTTTTTAAAGAGGCCTCTTATGCTCATCAAAGCTGCATTTATTTGATTAAAAATACAGTAAAAACAATAATATTGTGAAAAATAATTGCAATTTAAAATAACTGTTTTCTATTTAAGTATATTTTAGAATTTACACAGCATTTGAATAGCAATATAATAATATATACTGTATATATATCTATTTATATATTATTATTATTATTGATTGTATTTAAATGATAAAATATTTAACACACACATATACAGTATATGTATATCAAATATTGACAGGGCAGGTACTGTATAAGTCTCGATCACTGGGCTGACTGGGCAAGCAAAAGAAATATCATTGTTGAGCCCTGACAATAATCAATTGGTCCACCTAATATTAACACTTCTTTTTTTGTACCTGTACTCCATCTGCTGCCTTGGAGTATGTCTGTGCTGCAAACTGGCAGTCCTCTGAGTGGATGGGGAGCAGCGCAGGAGCAGGGGGCAGCAATTCCACATTCCCCTGACTCATGTTCCCTTCAGGAAACATTTTCCCATCTTTCACAGTTTCCCTCAGGTTAATTACAGAGTCCCTGATGTTGGCAATGATCTCATTGTTCTCTGCAAGTAGTCTTTCTAAGTGGTCTATTTTGTCCTGCAGAATACCAAGCTGGCCCTGTAGAAGAGAGAAAAACAGTGAGTAACACTTTTACCACTGCCTCGGACAAGATCACGCAGCCCTTCAGCACAAAATTCTGACAATGACCTAACTGAATGCATTACTACATAACTAAGCGTAACTGAACATAGTGCATCTCAGACCTTTTTACATAACTTTAAAGTAATTTAATGCAGCATCTGGCCAGCAACTTTTCAAGATCAGGCACAAGCACCGTGTCTGTGAAAAAGGGAGAGACTAAAATGCACAACATTTGATTCGAATTCTCCCACTTTTCACCATGGCTCTCAAATGTCATTCAAACGAGGTGTTTAAATATTTGTCATGACAGATTATAGTACATCAATGTCAAAGAACATCAGTGCTCAATCTTGTAAAACTCTTAGGTGATTCATATTTGCTGCTGCCAGAGTGTTAAGCTTATGTTTAGTCTACTGGATTTCAAATAAACGCAGTGCATGTAAGACACATGTGAATCCTGTAGGACCTATTACTAAATTTAGGGCTAGCAGACACAACCCTAACATCACTGGATCTCGCCTGTCATTCTTAACCCTCAGTACACATCAGAAATGTGACAGTTTTCTAATATAACGTTGTTTCTGAAAAATCCAAAACATACATTTGGAAAAAAAAAATCCAAATACACAATTGGTCGAAAGGGAGTCAGTTCTTAAATTCAGAATTTAATAACTGACTCTCTTTCGATTCATGAGCTCATCTGAACTGGCCACACCATCAGGAAGTTGAATTGTAAAACAAATCACTTACAGCCAGAGGCGTCATGCCCATTCAAAGTGAGGGGGCACGTGCCCCCTCAGATTTCTGAGCCAAGTGGATTTTGAATGCAGCTTCCAAAAGGCAAAAAATAGCCTAATAATATTTTTTATATATTTGATACAATCACACCGGTGTGATTAAATCGTTCAGCACATCATCAGCTGCTTAAATTCAAATCTGCGTTCGCTGGCTGGTGCTGAGCCAGAGACAGACGCGTTTGTACAGCGCTGCATTATAACCAATCACACACGATTCTGTTGAGCTTATGAATGCAATAGCCAATCAGGCGTTGAGATGAGTCATCGCTGAAAAACGGTGTTTTGTTCACTTGCTCGCTGACTGAACTCTCTGGCGAATTCTCTCATCAGAAACAACAAAGTGCAGATGTGCGTACTAATGTAAGTAAGATATTAATTTAACAGTGTAAACAGCTTCAGTGATTTAAATGAGAGTGTTTGAGAGTGCCTGAACTCTGGCTAGACTGAATGAAAATGCTCTTTGATAATTTTCTTTGCTCTCTGTAAAATGAAAGTGTTATAATTAGTAACTTACAATATTGTTATTAAATACAAAGTCAGTCGTATTAAAAATATTTTACGGCATGACACCCATATCTGGTACTTAAAGGCACAATATGTAATTTTCGAAACTAGTTCTGCCTACAAGGATTGTACTGCACGCACACATGAACAGACAAATAACGGATCACTCACACACAGAAACAAAAAATATTGTCAATGCTGCCCTGTGATTTGTCAAAAAAAAATGCTTAGAAACAGAAAAGTTATAGCGAAAATTTCTTTGTGTTTTGAAGTAATCAAAATCCACAGCTTCACTATTAGTAGAGAGACGTTGCACAGACAGGCAGGACTAATTTACACGTAATCGCGCTCTCACAAATGCATTCAAATAAATGTAATTTTACTGTGCTTCTATGTATCTGATTTAATAACCGATAAAATAACTGACGAAAATGTAGCCTACTATCATTTCATCCTTCCAAACAAAATTCACACAATTATTAGCTCATTCATTCATTCATTTGGTCTTATCTGATCTGCTCAAGTGCTCTTACGTTTACATAGGACATAGGCACCCAGAGAAAACTGCACTGCATTTAACATACAGGCCTACATTTTTCGATTGAACCCATGATTCTGATGAGCAACATTTTACACATTTCTTTAATAAAAGTTTATAAATAATCAAAATATAAACAAAGAAGTAACATACAGGCCTACATTTTTCGATCGAACCCATGATTCTGATGAGCAACATTTTACACATTTCTTTAATAAAAGTTTATAAATCAACATAAATCAACATTTGTTTATATTTTGATTTTGTTGTTTAGAATTTTAAATGAGCTCAAAATATTATTATCATTATTATCATTAAATCGCTCACCCTTTGATTAACTATACATAAGGGAGTGGAAACGGCAAGTGAATACATGAATCAGTGATCCTCTGCAGCCATCTACTGGTCATAGTGGTAATGTCATGTCATGTTCATTTTATAAGTGTTTGTTTTCAACTACCGTATTAGCCCGAATATAAGACGACCCCCCTTTTTCCAGATGTACCTTTTGGAAAAAGGCTTTTTAAAAACCAAATCTTGTTTTTTCTCAGTAAAACACATTTTGTCTTCAATTATTTTCATATTGCATATTTTTCCTATTTGAATTTTTGTTTTGAAAGTATGGTAAAAACTGGTAAAATGTACCAACAATCACATTAAAAAAAATACACT